ATCCCATCAGACAAGTAAACACACACACACACACACACACAACCACATGATCTGACTATGTGTGAGACCAGTGACTTCCCATGTGAGACACGTCCTGTCAGAAAGAGGTGTAGTGCAGGTGTGTCACTGACTCAGAGGAAATGATTGGTCATACTGGTGGAGCCCAGGGACAGAGGAGGGTACGGGGTTGTCACCATGGCAACAGCCTGAATGAGAAGCAGGGGGGGAGGGTAGGGGGGGACAAAAGAGGAACGGCTTCCAAATCCAAGAGTTGAAGCTGCCAGCAGGGAAAATTGGTTTTGGGGAAAGATGATTGAAATATAAGTGTGGGTGTGTGGGTGTCACTGTACTTTGAAAAAAAATATCAACCGAAATGTCAACTTTAAATAGGAAAAGGAAAATCTTTTAGCCTTCTGACAATGCTTTTTAAAATAAAAGATGGTTTGTTTTCCAATTGCATGGCAACACGTCGTCCTTCAGTTCATCTGAAAAATATTTTGGAAATACATGATTTTTTGTGGACAATGTCTTAAATATAGTCAGTACATGTGGAAATGTATCTGAACCTGCAAATAGACGTGTGTTTTGGCAATGTAGAATTGCTTTATATAGCACTTTTAATAACAGAGTAAACTACACAAAAAACAGAACGAAACAGTAAAACATGACCACAGATGGATACAAAATAGGACCTGGAAATAAATACGGATCATGAATAATCGTCTTTGACGGTATTTAAATGCCCTGTATCATCAGCTGGGGGTCCATGAACAGAGGTGTCCTCGCTCCACATCAGTGGAGCCACCGCGATCATCAGCACACATTCAACACCGAGCTGCCAGCCACAGCAGAGTCAGGATGAGAAGGGCACGGAGCTATTCAAAGATCTGAGTTAATGAATTTGACTTTTGATGAGAGATGTTAATTGCCATGCAATGCGGTGAGACTGGATGGCACAAGGATTGCAAATGTGACGCACACAAAATGTATGGTCACATTTGTATTTAATTTGTATTAATTTGGAATGAAGAAAATTTCTTCACTGAAGAAGCTTTAGTTGTGGGTAATTGAGACCCAGGGGGAGTAACCTGGGGCAGGTATTGGGGAAAGAGAGCATGAGGAGAGTTGAAAAAAAGAGTTACAGTTTTGAACAGTTCCTTCTCATGTCCCATGTGTATTTAAGAACACAACAATTGCCAGCTAACGATGTGGATTTAACACTGAAAGTCATTGCACACTCCTGTACAGTAGGTGGCGGTATGCATCTATTCAAGTTGGTTAAATTATCAAGGAAAGAGCAGAAGGAACGAGCGGAACCTTAATGTGACTAGTCTTTAGTCGGAACTTTAAAGTGTGACACCCATCTGTTGTGCAGGGGAGGCAATTAATCTATCGGTAATTAAGCAACAATGTCTTCAGTTGAGAATTTGAGAGAGTTTGTCAACGAGCGACTATCTGCTGCTGCTGAAGAAATATTCGGAGTTTTTAAAAGAACCGTCGACGAGTACCAGGAAGAGATCGACCGGCAGCGCAGACTGTTGGATGTTTTTTGGAAACCCGAAGTGAGGTTACACAGGATAGGTGAGAACAACTTTGTTAAAAAACTCTGTTGTCTAAAGCAATAAAGACGAGACATTATTCAAGTTTCTTTTTTCAAACCAACGTGTTCTTTAACTTACCAAAAGAACAGTAGGACACGTGATATTTATGGTTTATGAACACTCGTTGTATTTATACGCTCAACC